CGATTAATTTCAGTTCCTGAAACACCTTTCGACATGAGAAATCCGATCGCTGCGCTGCTCTGCTATCGGAGGAACCACTTTTACTCCCACCGAAGCAAGGGATGCAAAGAATGTTAAAAGTAATTTACATAGCCCCAGAAGTTTCAAATCTAAGCTTGCAAGAGTAGAATGACAAAGGGCGATGAAACTACTGTGTTACACAAACGTTGCATCGGTTCGTACAAACAAAAAAGGTCACGCACATCACACTATGTACTATCACACAATCCATCACAACACTCACACCAAAATGCACCTCCTTACATCACAACACTCCCGCCCCACCCCACACAACACACACTTCCGTACCATCACATACAACACTCTCTAAACTAACCCAACATTCCTGTAAGTTAAGACAACACACCCGTACCGAGAGAGTTGGCTCAGGGTATCAACTGATGTCACTGCAGTGCCTCTGACCTGGAACGAGGTTCTAGTCACGATGCCGGCAGAATTTTCAACACAATCTTGTCAGCTAGGTGCTAGTTCAGGCGCTATCTGGAGGAAGATTTTAGAAGCCGACTGCTCTGTTCATTATTTTCCGTGATTTCTCCGATCAACACTAGGCGAATTCTGGAGCAGTACCCCAACAAACGGGCCACGGACCGCGCGCGATCTCACTTTCCTCTTCCTTGCACTACCTTCACCCCTTACACACACTCTTACAGTTACAAGCACTACACTACCAAACGTCAGAAGACCAGACAGGAGCTTAAATCTTTTTTTTTTCGTATGGGGTGGAGCGCCACTAGCAGATATGCCTAGAGGAAGATAATGGCAAGAGTCGACGTCTAGGTCTGCGGCAGATCTCACATTCTAGCAGAATAGGAACACCGCCACCTCCCGTACTACGCTTAAGGGACTAATGATCGGAACAGATGATGCACCCAAATAATCAGTGAATCATTACGTAAATCAATTCCTGATCCTGTAAAGAGTTAATGCTTCTAAATAATCAGTGAATCACTACGTAAATCAATTCATAAACCTGTAAACAGTTGATGCTCCCAAAAAATCAGTGAATAAGTACGTAAACCAATTCATGAACCTGTAAACAGTTCATACATCCAAACAATCAGTGAATCATTACGTAAATCAAATGCCTGGATAGCCATAGTTACACAATTCATAAACCTGTAAATGCGGGGGAGGGAGGTGACTGGAACGCATTGTTTTTACAGTGTAACCCTAAAACGTGGTATGTCACCCTCGGGCTCGGGGTTCGCAGGCAGAGAAAGTGCCGGCGGTGGCCTCTGACACCACTCTCGCTCATCGGAGAGATCTTTTAATATAACCGGCGGGGGTGGGCAGTGGCGCGTGCTGCGGCGGGGGTGGGGGCGGTCGAAGTAAAGCGAGCGACAACGGCTGCGGTCAAATGGCGCGCCAGCGTGCGTCAACGCCCGCTCCTCGCGTGTGCGGCGGGGTCTTTGGGCGCTCGTATTCGTCACGTGTTGGATTTGTTTTTTTTAAGCGGCTGTAAGGTAAGGGTGTCGCGTGTCCGTGGTGCGGTTGTCGTGGTGCGTTCGTGGTGCGTGTGTGGGCGTCGAAGTGCGTGTCGAAGTGGTGTCGTGGGCGTGTCGGGTGCGTGTCGTGGTGCGGTGTTCGTGGTGCGTGTCGGGTGCGTGTCGTGTGCGTGTTGTGGTGCGTGTCGTGGTGCGTGTTGTGGTGCGTTTGTGGTGCGCGTTAGTGGTGTGCGTGTGTGGTGCGTCGTTGGGTTTGACTCCAATTTGTTTGTGGGGTGAATACCGAGCGATGTTGTTGTGATACGAATGCTGAGACTTTGATGTACCGGAGTGTCGATTGATTGATACCGAGTCGGGCAGTCATTTGCTAAGCGTCATTAGTCGCCTATGTAATCAATTGTCGTTTCCTCGAGGGGTGGTGTGGTGAACTTCTCCCTGGCTAGACGGAGATGCGGTAGCACCTACCCGTCGGCTAAGAGGTACCCAACAGAGAGGTCACATCTCTACCGGAAGTAGCTTCTAAGCTCCGACCACTCCGACATTGTGCAGTGTGCATGTAAGTGTTAAGTGTTGAAGGGGTGAGGATAGGATGCTTGGCAAGAGCACGGAGAAGTGCGCGGTCCCGTGAATCGTCTGGTGTTGATGGAGAAAACCACGGAAAGAGTACTGACACGAGCAGGGTCACTATTCACCGCAACTAAGCGGCTGAATCGAACTTAGCTGTCGAGCAATTTTGAAAAATTCGGACCAAACCGACGGGAAATCGAACCCTGGGACTTTCCGATCAGTGGCACTGCAATGACACTGTTGACCTGAGGTAGACCCAGGTCGATGTTAGGATATGTCCAGAATACAAATAGCCTGTTAAAAAAACATATTCGTATGTACAATAAATGAGTATTGGTATAAATGCGTAAGTTACAGTAATGCACTCTACATTCCATATTGATCTTCAATAATTCCCAAAACTAAACATCTTCAATAGTATTGCTTGCGTTAAGTAAGGTCCACTGGTACAGATAAGCTCACTTATAAGAATAAGCGAGGGTGAATGCTTTCAGCAAACCCTGAGAGACCTATGACAAATTGAAATGCGAAAAGTAAACATTTAAATGTCCTGCAACAATAAGTGGCGACTATTGTGACGTAGGAAATAAGAAATAAATTTCAATCAAAATAAAATAATATTCAAAGATTATGTAACAAGTTACAATGAATTGCTATATTAAAAACTTCCGGCAACCTTTTCGTTTGACACGCTTTAACCGCAGAAAATACAAGCCACCTGATGGCGCGGTGTCGGACCTCGGTCCCGTGACAATTACCTGTCACATGGGCCTGACGCCAAAATTAACCGGTCGTGGCGCCGTGTGCCTACAGCACCTAGTTGTCCTGGCCCTTACTTACCGGACATTCTACGGCCCACACTCTAACCCCTTGTACAACACGTACAAGCTTTCCGATGCAACTGATGAGAACGCGGGCGCGATGGCGCCGCGTTGAAATAGTTGAGGCTGACACCCCCAACCACTGTTCCATAGATAGACTCGCAGGACGCGAGGCTCGCCAGACCAGCCTTTGTTTTAACGCCCAACGACACAGAATTCTCAGGTTGGCTGCTGCTTCCGTAAGAGCTCACCGGCAGCATCTCGGAGTTTACAGCTCCGGGTATTGTTGGCTTGCGGCTCCTACTGAGGTCCAACCGCCCGAGCGCAAACTCCCCGATTTCAGGCTCAACCTTTCTCCTCCGCAGCTACTTTCACAACCTAACGGTTCTGGCCTCGTGTTAACGACGCCACGACTATGAATACGGCCCTAAGATGTTTCCCGGGCATTTATGCGACAGAGCCATCGTAGCATCTAACATAAGGTTCTCAGGTAGTTATCATTCATTCAGCAATCTGTCCAATGCACGCACGTTTGTTTTTTGGACCTAACAATTGTAAAATAAACGGAAATGCCGGTATCGAACCGAAATAGAGTTTAGCCATGAATGAGCAAAATGTTTACGTTCCAATCTGCTATTGTAGAAAGATTTTCTATTTCTATTAAGATTATGATTCATCACGTGTTCGAGTAAGTAATTACTACATATAGGAACGATAAATTTTTACCGGCCGCGTTGCATGCCTTTCTTCTAGCAAACTTACGTAGCAGATGAGAAAATTACAATAATTAATTTGTCGCGTCACTTCAACGTTAAATATTATTCAAAATACAAAAAACATATGAATCATGTTCACCATTTCACACTGTGTTAATTGGGTAGGCGTGTTTTCATGTGAAATTAATTGTCTAATTAGTATTCATTAATCTAGATTTAATTACTAGATAGCATTCATTGAGAGCAGTAATTGCATTTAGCGTTCGAATAACTGCTCGCTATTGTTCTCCAATACTAAAAGTAAGTATTAAATATCACTTATAATCAGATATAATACAAACCATTATTTTTAGTAAACAATTTATGGATAGTCACAGGGATAGATCTCTCTTCATAACATGTATGAAAATGCGAGAAAATACGATCATGATTTCGGTTGTTTGTTTACGAACAGTTCACGTTACGTGTAAATTCATTGGTCTATCTATGAAAAGAAAGAATTTAAAATATGATTATTAAGAATTAAACAGTAACAATATTTCAAAACAATTTTTTCAGCATCTGTTTTCGAGATAACATCGCACCATATCTAGGATCTTCCACACGGAACCAGTTTAAAAGAATTGGAAATTCAGTTAAGGAGGAAGCCTAATCTTTATAAATGTCAATAATGCGATGTAAACTCAATTATCTATGTATAGACTCTTACGTGACTCACACTGTTTCCACAGTGCAACACAAGAACATCTTAAAGCTGAAGTATCATGTAATACCATTGTACATACCAGGTTTGTTCGCGTACATTGAAAGCCTGTCAAAACGAGATTCTAGTCTTAAGAACCGTCTTTATCTAGCTCATATCTTACTTGCGCGGTATAACATTTAAACACAAAAATACTTGAAATACATAAAATTACAGACGATGTGGTCAATACCTTTATAAACGAGTAATGGACGAAAGAAGTATTATGTTACATGTACTTCTTCAAGCACCAAGTAAGTAAATTGTATATATTATGGCGAGAATACAATTATTGTGTACCATATGTTGAAATAATTCCTTTAATCTCTAGTGACTAATTCATGAGAGTCATGAGGTTTTAGAGAAGGGAACACATTCCCCGAGGAACCTTTCTTGTTACTTCGTGAAAGACAGCGACAAAGGGTAAATCTTATCCCTTCTCACGAACGAAACCTCTCGAGGAAACAAACACTCACGAAAAACTCTAGGCACTCGCAATCCCCAACTCTTCCACGCACCGTGCAATCCCTGACTCCGGCACGCTCCCTCTGAGGCCGCAGGCTATCCCACACGCATTATACTCCTCTTTTTTCAGCTCGAATTGCAACAAGCCCACGTTCTCCAGTCACCTCTCACGTACCCAACTTACCAACCTCATTCCAGCGTCAGTCACAACACCTCTTCTATCCACGAGATAAGTATATACACCTCGAGCATCATCACTGTGATCGGTACTTTCACCCGCGTCACCACCACGTCTTTTACCACATTAAACTTATCGTAAAGGCAAACCCATTTAGTACATGAGTCACACTCTTCTCTCAGCTTCCATCCATAGCATCTCGTTTCCTTTACATTACTCTCTTCTCGCCACGCCTCCGCCCCACCGCCCCCCCATCCCCGCCCCTCAGCCGCAACCCTCGCCCACGCAACCCGCCCAGCACCCCACGGCAACCCTCCGCCCACGCAACCCTCCCGCCCACGCAACCCCGCCCACCCAACCACGCCCTGCCCAGCGCACCCTCCGCCACGCAACCCGCCCACGAACCCCGCCACGCACCTACACGCACATCCCCCACGCAACCCTCCGCCACGCAACCACACCCGCACCACCACCCGCAACCACTCCACCCACGCACCCTCCACCACACGCCCCCATCACCCACGCAACCATCCACCCACGCAACCATCCACCCACGCAACCATCCACCCACGCAACTCTCCTCACTCGCCGCGCCCCGCCACGCACCGCCTAGACTTCTCGACACTACACAGCACGCAATGTCCCGCCACGCCTCGCGACACGTATCGCCCCGCCACGATAAACCGCGATAAACCAGCGCTTCTCGTCACGCCACGCGCCCAGGCCCCACCACGCCACACCGCGCAGGGACAGATGGCTCAGGGCATCAACTGATGTCACTGCAGTTCCTTTGATTGGGAGGTCCTAGATTCGAGTCCCGTCGGTGGCAGAATTTTCCACACTAGCTTGTTTGCTAGGTCGAATTCAGTCGTTGTCTCGAAGAGAATTCTAGCAGGTGTTCTCCGTGGTTTTCCGTGGTTTCTCCGATCACCACCTGGGGAATGCCGGAGAACTACCCTAACAAACGGGCCACGGACCGCACGAGATCTTTCCTTCCTCTTCCTTGTCCTATCCTCACCCCTTATATGCACTTACAGTAACACGCAGTACACTACCACACATGTAGAGATCGCGGCCGTTTTCTTAGAGATTGTCCCGGCTGGGGCGGTTTCCCACTGGTGGGCGATGCCTGGTTGAGGGAAACCCCGCTAGCCCACGGTAGGTTGGCGCTGGAACTTGCCTTGCAGGGGGAAACCACCTCCCATGCAAAAACATTCACTACACCGACAGGACGAGTGACCCTAGCAGTAGACGTGCCCGAAATCACTAACAATCAATCAATAAATCAAGCCATGCCGCGCTACTCCCCTCCACCCGACGTCTACACTCTGCCACTCTCCGCCACAATCGGTCACGGCGCTCCCCGTCACGCCATTCTCCCCCACGCCCCGATGCACCCGCCTCCGCCACCGCCCAAGCCCCTCACCCCTCACCCTCCTCCCTCACGCAGTTTCGTTTAGCCCCTCGATCGGGTTGCGCGGCGCGATCCTGTTTTGTTTATGCATTCGGGCGGCATTCAATTATTCACAAGCCGCAGCTAATGCGCCGTGGGCGATTTAAATCGCCCCAACGCCCACGCCCACGCCCGCCACTGGGGCGGCGGGCGGAGAGGAATAGAACGCGAGGGGGCAGGAAGTGCAGTGAAAGGAAACTGCGGGAAAAGGAATGGGTGGTTTCTGCGAACGGAGGCGAGGGGATTAGCCGCGGAACGTAACTTATTTACAATTTAATTTCTTATTCTGTGCGGTGGGTACAGGGCATTGTTAGGTATGCGCCAACTTCTTCATTAAAGAAGCAAAAAGGAATTCTGTTGAATGAAAAAGAGAAATGCGCACAAAGGCCTTCCAGATACATCCTAGCTTTCATGAAGTTTCTAATTCAATAAAATTACATTTAAAAAAATCTTGTATGGATTCATCGTGGTTTAGAGTCGGGACGCTATTAAGGGAAATAAATTGTATTTAATAATAATAATAATAATAATAATAATAATAATAATAATAATAATAAAAGTTATTTTGTAATCGAAAAACGATTTCGATACCAAGAATTTGTTATTGCGATAATTACGAGCAAAAATATTGTTTCTACCATTTATTCCTCTGAACGTTGGTTGAATCGTTTTTTTTTAATCCTCAACCCTATTAATATTCACGTATAATTCAAAATCTTGCAGCACACACCCTGTACGATTGCAATTCCTAGCTTCGAGGAAATGAAGCTTAAAAGTTTGTCAAAGTAATGTTACGTATGGAGGGACAATGTTGGCTTTCTGAAAAATTATGATTCTTACACGAACTTCTTGTTTATGGACATACAATCTTTGAATGCTTGATAGACATGAACGAGAGGTTTCCGGAAACGATATTACCTCATAAAATTATCATCACAGGACACACAACGTTCGTGTAATAATCCATCAGTTGAGTGATTTATTAGCGATTATGGGCACATAAACTGCTAAGATTATTATACCCGTATCTGTAGCATATGTTTTTATTGTAAATAATATCACCAGAAGTGCTATGATAGCCGGTAAGTTCACGACTCGCGTATCCAGGAATTTAACGACCGAAAATTCGGGGAATTTAATGGAAATCGGACTTGCGCCAATTTTTAAAAACGCATTTTTATCCATTCGAGAGAACAAATTATAGAAAAAGATCTGAGGTTATTTTTACACCTCATTTCTACAGATATTCGACCAGTTCCAATTTTTTTTGGATATCCTATATAAATATCAGTCACTTTCAATACTATGCGTTTCTAGACTATACTATGATTTTCTAGAATGATCACTATTTCCTATACATGGGCCAATTTTACGCATAGAGAATACTCTCTATAAATCTAAAATATGACCGTTTAGAAGCTAAGAATAAATAGAAAAAATCTCTCCAGTGCCAATAACGTAATTGAAAAAGCATCGAGGGCACTCGGTGAACGTGGCGCCTTCTTCTAAAAAGAAACTCTACACATTTGGAATTCGGCGAATACCACACGCTCGCGTGGGTGGGTTGCTCACTAATTGAAGAGATCCAATCATTCGGGGCTATTCCTACATGCAACACGACGCCGACTCCCAAGTACAATGGGTGAGTTGCTTGTTATTGGCTCTACCCAAACATTCGGGAATCGTCCTACACGCAGCATGACGCCGAATCACAAGAAGTACGCGTGGATTGCTTGCTAATTGTTGAGAACCAACCACCCGGCTCGCCCTACACGCAGCATGTTTACTTTTTGAAAAGTTTTACTAATTTAACTAGTATTTACTGATAATTAAACTAGTATTTTTGAAAAAATACTAATTTTTCTGTCTTGAATGAACATTCCTTGATTAAAAGCAATCCCATTCTAAATATTTTATTAACTAGCCTTTAATCATTCTTTTGACCTCTTTCCCTCCCCAATTTTTGCAATCTCTTTATCTAGTCAAAGTGTTAAAAAAATTCTTTATTTAATTAAAATTCTAGAATCCTGCACATTCCTAATTTTCTGTTCTCTTTTACATTCCTTGATGTGAAGCAGTAAAATTTTTAAGTCATTTTTATGACTACCCTTTCTTCTCTTTTACCCCCCCTCTTTTCCCTCAATTGGTAGGCTTCCTGTTTTCCCATTCCAAAAGATGTTCACTATTTTTGACCATGTTGTGAACATTCATGGGAGATCCACGTTGCTTGGGTAGTAAATATTTTCAATTTGTATTTATGATATTATTTGTTTGTTTTTCCACTAAATTCACTGTACACCCCCTCTTTTGTGTTCAACTTGTGTTAATGTTTTCATTTATCCTCCTTCCTAGAGATCCACTAAGGATGGTAAAAGCGTTTTCCCGAAAGTTAACTCTGGAAAATTATTAATACAAATTATTAAAACTTTTGTGGAGATTATTTCCTTCGCCATATTATGGATTACCACAATATATCCGCTACCACCACGGAATTTAATGTAGTTCATATTTGACGATAGATCAATGTACGATAAAAACGTTCAGTGTTGTCAATAGTGTCTCTACGTTCTGGTCCTTTTGTAGAATAAAGGGGCGCCAGGGTTCCGGACATTGGTATATCCTTGTCAGCATTTGCTATACGTCCCAGCCTTGTACGTAATCCCTTTCTTGTTTCCTGCCATTCACAGCCAGTTCCTACTTTCACAGCAGCTTGCCGCTGCTTTTGTCAGGGTAAAATGCATTATTGTTTCTGTAGAAAACCTGGGTTCACGTAAATTGGTTTATTTTAGACAACATAACACGGATTTCCGATGATTGTAGATTAATGGCAAGTTACCACTGTATTTGCATTTAATTCTTATTCGTAAAAGAAAGTATTTTGCTTAAATAACACGTAGATGTACGTAACTACAATTGATTATCTTTAAAGAATGAGACCTGAGCGAAGAGGACAAGAGAACAAAGTCGAGGGCACAGGATGGAATGAGTAAGAGACGGTGGTGAGAGTAAATCAATGGCTGCACTGGGCTCAAATAATTCGATTAAAGGAAGAAATTGTATTCACTACTTCAATATTGGAGAGTGAAAAAATTAATTAACAATGTCATCGCAAAAGCAGAGTCCATCGCAAGAAGAGTTCGGGTTATTAAATTATTATATTATTATATTATTATATTATTATATTATTATATTATTATATTATTATATTAT